CGCCTTCACGCCCCTCGAGTCGCTGTTCCTGTTCCAGAGCCTGCTTTCGCAGGGGGTCGACGGCGGGGCGTTTGCGCGCATCTCGGAGCTGCTCAGGGGGAACCCTCTGATCAGGAGCGGCGAGACGTACGATGCCGCGCGGCTGACGCCCGAGGCGCTGCAGCAGCAGTTTCTGGGCTTGCTGCGGGACGAGCTCAAGGGCGGCGATGCGGAGCGCGCCGATGGGGGGCAGACGACGACAGCGGCGGCGGGAGGGGGAGGAGGAGGAGGGGATGGGACGGGGTCGCCCCCTGGGTCGTTGAAGAGGAAGCTGGGGAGCCAGGCCGTGCCGACGCTCAAGGACATCTACGACAATATCGATGTTTTGCCGGCGATTATCGACCGGCTGTACGCGCGGTATCGAGACCACATGGTTGGGCTGATCCGCGAGGACGAGCGAAGGCTGGCCGTCTTGCAGCGGGAGATTCAGCTGCTGGAGCGCAGCGAAAAGGAGCGCCTTGCCAAGGTGGCCGCCAGCCAGAATGTCACGCCGAGTCCGACTCCACGAGATCCGAGGACGGCTGCGATGGCAGCGGTGCCGACGACGGCATCTGGAGTGCCCTCAATCGCCGCTCCGTTACCGTTACCACCTACGAATGGAGCACCTCCTACGCCTTCTCCAGCACAGACATCGACGACGACGGCGCCTCCAGCCATCAGAAAGGGACCGACCCCGAATACGCCTGTGCCGCCGCCGAAACCACCCGTCTTTGCCGCTGCAGCGCCCAAGATCCCTGTGCAGGGCCAGCTGGCCCCTGCGGCGACGCCTTCGCGCCCAACTGCCTCGCCGAAACCGCCGCATGCAGCGTCTCCCGTGCTCCAAGCGCCCACCGGGGCTCCAACGCCTCAGCCGGGCATTCAAGTGCTGCAGCCGCCGACGCAGCAGCCGCCGAATCAGAGTGTACCCCCGCCCCGGCCAGAGTCTGCTGCACCGCAACCTCCAGCCGCGCCGGGAGCTGCTCCCGCTCAGGCTGGATCGCTCAAGTGGGAGAAGCCGTATCAGCCTCCGCCTACGACGCAAGCTCCCCCGGCCGAGCAGCAGTTCTCACCGCCGCTTCTGTCTACGCCGAGCAATGCCGCTCTGCAGAAGCCTCATTCGCCCGCGCAGCAGCACCAACCTCTTCCTTTGGCCGCTCATCAACAACAGCAGCAGCAGCAGCAGTGGCAACAACATCCGCAACACCCACAAGCACCTCCACAGCATCCTCAACATCCACAGCATCCGCAGCATCCACAGCATCCGCAGCATCCACAGCAACCGCATGTGCAATATCCTACGCATCCATCCCAATCACCACATGGACAGGTAGCACACCCGCCACGTCCCCAACCGCAACTTCAATCACAGCCTCAACAGCAGCAGCAGCAGCAGCAGCCTCAGCAGCAGCAGCCGCGGCCGCCCGTTGCAAAGCCTGTTTTGGTCCCTCCTCAGCCTGCCAGCCAGCTGGCTGCCCCTCTACAGCCGGGGCCTCCGCGCGCAGCCGGTCCAGGGCCTACGCAGCAAGTCCGTCCGCCATCGACGACACCACCGACCGCGGGCCGTCCCATTCAGCCTCAGCAACAACCTCAGCCTCACCCTCAGCAGCAACAGCAGAGCCAGCAGACAGCACCCCAGCACCAGCATATCCAGAGAGCAGTGCAGGCTCAGCCATCCTTGCTGGCTCAGAAGTTCCAGCACATCCCGAGAATCCAGACACCGCGGCCAATTGCTTCCGCAAATTCTCCCAAGGGGTCGCCTTCGGTCACCGCTGCTGGATCTCCGGTTGCGAACAAGGGAGTTGCTCCTGGAGCTGCTGCAACGCAACGATGGCAGCCGGGCGCTCCCCCAGTACAGCAAGGAGCTGCTCCTCCTCGGCCTGCTCCATCCCCTGCACTCGCGGCCAAGGACAACAAGCCGCAGGGCACACCGTATGGTGCCCAAGCGCCGCGCCCTGCGATCCCAGAGCACATGATCCGGCAGGCAGCCGCTACGCCGGGACCTGTGAGACGACTTAGTCCAGCATCTCCAGCACCACGGACGCCAGCACCGTCAAGTCCTGTATCTCTTAAGCGTGGATTTGGAACCAAGTGGGCATCTCACTCGACTCCGTCTACACCTGGCCCGATTGTCTCAGAGCCGGAGAGCCCGGCTTATGAACCAGTTAGTCCTCCACTGCAGCGGCCCACGCTCGCAAAAGACTCTGCAGCCAAGGCGGTCCCTAAGATGGCCGTGCCAAAGCCAGCTGCCACCGTGGAGGCAACCCCTCTAGCAAAGGCACCACGAGGTCGACCACCGCGATCAGTGCACAGAAGCCGCGGGCCTAGCGCGACGCCGTCTGCCACGGGAACGCGGCGAAGCCAGTCTGTAATCAGCCAGACAGACGAGCTGTCTCTCGATCACTCGATGACCAAGGTGAAGAAGGAGGCGGCGGCGACACCACGCCTTAGGGAGGAGACTGGGGACACGACTGCGGATGAGAGCATGCCCGGACGGGGGGGCACCATGGGTACTCCCAGCAGTATGACCCGTGCATCTAAGCGCAAGCGGCAGGATACTCCTACTGACCTTCAAGGCCCTCCCACGCACGTGCTGTGGACGCGAGGCTTCACAAAAGTGTCCTCGTCGGCCCTCGACCAGATCTCGAGCCACCGCGACGCCAACATGTTTGCCACGGCCCTGCGGGAGAAGGACGCGCCCAACTACCGGCAGATTGTCCTCCAACCGCAGGACATCACGTCGATCCGCGCCGCCATCAAGGCCGGCAACAAGGCGGCGCTGCAGGCGGCGGCGAACCTGCCGGGCGGCGATCCGGGCACGGCCAGCGTCTGGCTGCCCATCTCGGACGACCTCGTCCCTCCCCGAGGGATCATCAACAGCGCGCACCTCGAGCGCGAGCTGGTGCACATGTTCTGTAATGCGATCATGTACAACCCCGATCCGGATCGCGGCCCCGGGCCGGCCTTTATGAGGCGGTCGCAGAGCGACGAGGAGGAGGTCGTGGGCTACCGGCTCGACGAGAACGGGGTGGTGAAGAACACGCAGAGCATGTTCCTCGAGGTGGAGAAGCTGCTGGGGGACCTGCGGGCGGCGGAGAAGGACCGCGGCATCCCGCCCATCTCGACGACGAGGCAGGGTAGCGTGGCGACGCCGGCGGCCGAGGACACGGCCGAGGAGGAGGACGAGCTCGCGGGCGACGGGGACTCGACG